TTATCGTATTTTAAATGATGCGAACTGTAAAATGGAAGTTGAACAGACAAATTTTGTGACACATTTAATAATTACAGTACAATTATATTAGTGATTATCTAAAAACCCCTCTGTTAAAATTTGGTCAAATGAGTTTCAAATGTTAATGACTAATTATAGTAAGCTGTGTGCGAGTTTATAGGAAAATCTAATGAGCGAATTTTAAGTAAACTGAGTAAAGGTGAAATTTTAGGGTTGTATTTAATCGTTCATGTTGCCATGGAAACTACGAAAACGTCAAATTTTACCTATCAGTTAAAATCTTTCATCAGTATATTTTTCACTTGCCAAGTTTCAGCTTGTGAGCTGCAACCTTCCTCTTACCATAATTTGGCAAATGACCTATGTACTCAGAAACTGCCAAAACTGTGTTCAGCCACCTTAATGGATTCCTCCATCCAGTACTTTTTCAATTTATGGGACCACAACATTCCAGCAGGCTTACCTGTTCCTTGTTGTTATATTGCGAGTAACTGCCGAAAACAAAATCCCATAGAACAGCAACAGCATATTTTTCGTGGGCTAAATTTCTTCCCGCACGGCCTTGTAGCTCTTTGTTGAACTTCATCTGAGTTATATCCATTTATTGCAGATTTGATCAAAGGTGGTATCACAGAAAATAATGTTTCAATAGAAGAGCTGTCTTTTATGCTTGCGAACCCGCTGCTCCGCGTCGAAAGCGACTTACAGAGTCCTGCAGACAGTCTTGTCTGATAAATCCGTAAAACTTAGCTGAGAATTTTTACAGCTGGTGCTGCCGCAACCGGCTCATACCACTTCCTGGGAAAAAAGAGTACATTATTTTAAAGTGTGGTCGTTTCACTGGGTCGCTGCATAAGGCTAAGTTCACACATAGTCTCTCCAACGAAGCTCCGTGGAGAGACTATGGTTCACGCTATACGTACTGGACAGCTTTTCGTGGCGCTACGAGTAACACACGCTATTTATTCCACCAGAGGGAACCCAGACTCACAACAGCCTCCTGGAAGCCAAATTATAAAGATTGTAAGGGAATTTATCGTAACATCGATGAAAATTAAATTTATCGTAAGATACATAAACAGCTATTAAGTATACATACCTCATAAAGAGTTGTGTCTGTGTTGTTTTCTTACTGTTTCCTGCCCTATAAACGGCTCCATTTTAGGAAGCTTAATGTTTTGCTTTTTCACCTACTAAGAAGAAGACAAGGGAAAACTCGGCTGTCCTACTCTGTCCGAAGAAAAAGAAACAAAAATTACCTTAATTGCACTCCAATCGCTCCAAATCTTCGCTAACCTGTTATACGTCCCTGTTATACTCTCTGAGAGCCTGGCACAGGCTGAATATTCGCTTGAGCATAGATCGAAGATTTTCCTTCCTTGAAAATGCAAATTTAGTTCCAAACATCGAGCCACGACCTCAGGAGGGGAGAAATGTAGTTAAAAAATTGGAACTTAGCGCTCCCGTGGAACCGCTCCTCCTCGTGGTGTACTACTTTGGCTTATCGAACAAAAGAAGCAAGGCTGATTTTACTGTCGGGAATAAATATTTTTTGTTACCAATATTTCGGAAAACACGACCTTCCTTCTTAAGGGTCTTACATACAATGATGAGGTTAAGCTGAGACGTTGCAATTTGAAATCAGCCTTGTTTCCGGTCCTTCTTTTTTGTAACGTTGGTCCTGGCTTCCAATTTACCTTGGGTTAATAGCCACGCCGCACTTTGAAAATCTCCTCGACGGGGGCACCCGTGTTTTTCCCGCCACTTTTTTTGTAAATGAGCGAAAGTGTTCTCTGGGCACCCCTGCGAATCTGGTTTTGGTCGGTTTTGCTCGGGATGATTTTTCCCCTGTCCATCCCTACCGAGGGGATTTTGAACATGCAGTGTGGCTACTATGCCAAGAGCAACGGCCATCAGTATACGTAGTTTATCTGAAGTACTAGTGGCATCCAAAGGTGGAATGTTCCAATTCACAGAAACATAAAATTTGTTTTAGGTGTCACCTAACTCCATCTCATTCAGGACTTTACCATCGCATTCCATTCATTCTGTTGACAGTACCCCACCACCTGCGACAGTTGTCTTTCCTTAGATGCTGGACTTTGTTTCTATAGCAGGGGCGGATCTAGTGGGAGGGTGCAGGGGGTGCGCCCCCCCCCCTCCCGAGATGACTTGCGGTTTTCTAATACAACTGGTATTCTGCAAAAAAAACTATGTGGTTTATTGGTGTTGAATTAGAGCAAGAGACGAGTGCACCCCCTCCTAAAAAAAATCCTGGATCCGCCCCTGTATAGTATTTTTTCTTCTTTTCTGCACCACACGCTATGGAAAGCATTCAATAAGATACATTGAACCCTTCTTATGGTCAAAACTGAATAAAAACCTGCGAGAATCTACTACCTTAGCTAGTTTTGGGAACAAAATTAGAAAACTCGATTTTTCAGAATATGTTTTTAATAATAATAATAACTGCTGCAAACTTTGCTGCGAATAGACAACCATTAAATTTTCATTATAATAAGCATTTTCAGGAGCCTATGCCCTGGTATTTCAGTATTGTAAATATTGTAGCATCTTAGTAGTTTAGGGTTTATTCAAGGTATGTTGATTATTTTAGCACTGTATAGTTTCATTTCCCACTCCCTGGAATTTCCAACTCGGTTTGGCAACCCCTGGAAATACTATGTCCGCCAAACATGCTGTTGCACTGTACTATTATGCGAAAAATGATTGTTCCCGCGAATACAGCGTCTAATAATCTCAATTCTACCTTGTAAAGGTCTTTGTCAGTTAATGATTAACGGCAAGGCACTGAGAAACATGAAGGCGATACCTTACAAGACACAAATGATGCCATATGTAAAAGAACCTTTTAGATTTAAACTAAACACCGAGTCACCGAGTGGGCTTTGTTTACTTGTCTTTCCTAGAACCCAACAACATTAGTACGGTATTCATCATTCCGATTCGATGACAATTATCTATCGGGTAAGCCGTGAAAAAAGCATTCAACCGATCGTAAATAAAAAATCAACTATGAAAACAATAGTTGTTGTTTTAAAAGACTTTTTAACAGTAAAATAACTGATAGCTTGTTGCTCAGCGGAGCAGCTACTGGTTTTTAACAACTCACCAGTTACTCGGTCAGGGGCACCCAACGTCAATTTTCGGAAAATATCTGTTCGGAAGACGATTTGAGGTCTAGAATTTTCGGAACATTTGTTGTAAAATTTATTGCTTGCCTGCCTCTCCTAAGATTTTCGTACATCTAAAAAATGGTATAATTGCCCATTTTTAGCGGATTTTTACGCTAAAAAGATCACCTAGAATTTTCGGGAGCCTTTTTTCTGGCTAAAATTTTCGAAAAGATAAGTTTTGATCCCTATAATTCTCGGATCATTAGACTTTCATCTAGGAAATCAGAACAGATAAAAAAATTTTAGGGGATAAAACTATTCCTATATCTACCGTTTAAATACTAAAATACGTTTAAAAATGCTATGTTATGTGGTTTTGAACTATATTGTCGTTGGGTGCCCCTGTCGGTGCCCCCGGAAAAAACTCTCGATAAGACACCCCCACCCTTTCGAAAGTTGCCTCCTTTTTCACCCCCTCCCCTCGGAATTTCCGTTGCCCTTCCTCGCGGGCGGGGGTATGGACATTTTCTGGAACTACACAATAGTTTATTTAGTTTCCCCAGATAGCCCTATTTGGGCTAAATTATGACACTTAAATAAAGGTTCTATCTATCTATCTATTTCTGCAATTTCTTGTTGTACATTGTGCGTCAGTATCCGCCATAAAGGCAGGTTTTGACTGTGAAAGGCTTTCCGTGGGTCTTTTTATTTGGGCGTGGCCCAAACGGCTTGTTTTGACGGAAAAGTGTAATAGGCACGCAATACGTGCTAACGTAAACAAGCAGGCAAACAAGCGACGCGAGGCGAATGTCTGCCATGCGAACGCCATTCAACACTACATATCCTCCTTTATCGTTTTCGTAAAGTAAACCAAAATCCATAAAACTTGTCTTCGGTATCTCACGCAAAATATAGTTTTTTTAAAATCCTCTTAACACGTCAAATCTGTCCCCAGTGGCGCTGGAAAACGAGAAGACCCAGGAAACGAGGTTGACGTAATTGACCATCTTTACGCGACCCCACCTATCCAAAAGACCAAAATGTTCCCAGTCAAAGCCCCGTAGTTGGAACTTCGCGACAGTGACCACGACCACTTTTTAGGATGACAGTTTTAGAGTTTTTCATTGCATTCAACCTCTTCTAAGAGTTTGGCCTGATACAATTATTTCTGGTCTTTGTGTTTTATGTATGCCCTAGTCAGTCAGGGAATGAGAAGAAATTTTAGAAACAGCATGGATTTGTAACCTAAAAATTGCAGCAAAAAGTAGATGTGTAAGGGTGATTTGTCTCCTTCTATTAAAGATCTCCTCCAGTTCGACACTCGTAAGCGACCTAAATGCCTCTCTTCAAGATTGAGCTTATTAATACCACGATTATATTCTAATCATAGGGCTTGCCATTTCCTTGTGTTCCATACGCTTTCTCACTCTTTCTCTGTTTACAGCAGACACAACACTGTAAAAGGACCATGTGGGTAAAAGAAAACACCGATAGAATATCCCCAGAAGTTTGATCTCAGTTGAAACAGTTCAGATTTCAATAGCGGAACTGTTCTTACATAATAAATGTTAAATAAATTATGTGAACGTGTTTTTGCGCAATGAATTATGCATGAGCCCCGGAAGTACGTAACTATTCACTCGACAAGGGAAACTTCCCTGGGACTTTCCCTTCAATTCATTCTTTTTTTTATGAGAAAATTGACGAAAAGAAAGATCTAAGTAATTTGTATTCAGCTCTGGATGTTTTTCTGGTCTCTTTTAGGTCTCTCTAGTCCATATTTTGTTTGCAGAAAAAGAGGAGGAAATTGCAACGCACTTAATTGTGTTCGGCGACGTCATAGATTTGCTATCACGCGATCTTCTCATCACAAGGATAAACTACAAATCGTTGCTTCTCTTCCCCCCCGGCAACAGTGTTCCTGTTTACAACTCCTCGCATTGGGACTGAACCTATATCATCAGATCTAGCATCTTTTGAGGTAATTAACTGTAACTAAAATTCACTTCGATCCACTTCATACAGCCAGTGATCGTGACGCTCCCAGATTGTCAGATTAGATCGATCACTCTCTCCGACAGAAAGAGAGCGTAGTCTGCGAATGCTCAGTCGGCAATATGTTTGACTCGATCTACTTGCTTTCCTTTACTTCAATTAAACACAACAAGTTTGTATGGGTGTAAATGTTTCTATTTTATGCACTGAATTTAGTGTGTTAACATACGGTTTACAGACGTGAAATGTTCGCGGTTCGGCGGTACATGTATTGAATTATTCTTGCCTAGTGTCTGTCTGTTTTTTAAATCGAAGTGTTTCACCCTCCGAAAAATCTTAATAGTTTAATATAAATATTAAGTAACCCTTTTGTCCTTACTGCTTGATGATCACGTTCTATGTATTGTAAGCTTTCTTTATGTAGTGAAGTGCTGGAAGTCTTATGTTGTCATAATGGCCAGTTTCAAACGTCATGCTACTGCCGTGCCGAACGGAATTCAAAAATTTATATAAATATATTATATATGCTAAAAATTCACTGAAGGCCATTTATTCGACCGGGTTAAATTCCACGTCTGAAACTAGTGGGGCGGACATGTGCATGGATGGTGAGATCTTTTGATTAAAAGCGTGAAAATTGGCAGAAGAGTATGGTAACTTCATGTGTGGATATGGAGCCATCGTGAAATATTATGGGTTACAAATAAACATCAATTATTTTACAGTTTAAAAATGGAGGGGTCAGTGTTTATAGTACTACAATCCACAACAAATTGTGCAAGACTGCCAGTTTCAAAGAAAGCCATGATCGTTTTCCTTCGATTTTGATCTTAATCAACTCTACAATTTTAGTTTTACATTTATTATTAATAAACAAATGTATTTTCCTGAATTTTCCCAGACTACAGGGTAATGTTCATTACATTGTTACTCTCTAAAAACATAAACTTTCGATACAAACTTATTCTTCTCTCACTGGGAAAGTACCGTAACTCGATTTGTTTTCTTAGGAAATAAAAAATGCAAGCATCTATAGCTTGATTAACAATCATTAACAATCATGTAATATAATAGATTTAGCCAGGGCTAAAAGCGAAGCTCTCGTTAATTTCTATAGTTTACTCAAACAAAATATAAAATCTTGTAATGCTAAGCAGTGAATACTGTTTTTTTTCTTGGCTGTTTCATTACAAGGGCTAATTAGCAGGGCTGAAAAACAACTGCGCATGTGCATTAATGATCTGTGGCAAAGAACATATGCTCAAGCGTGCACATTCAAGATGACTGCTGTTTTGCGGGAAATAAACAGGCGGCATTTAACAATATGGAGGTTGTAATTTGCAGGTTGCAGGTCAGAATTTGCAAAAAGAGTTAAATGTCCTGAGTGGTTTACAGATCTTCCCGAGCTCCTCAAACAGAACGTTTATTACAATGGTGTTTGGTGATATCATATTCTCGACAGGGTCACACAAAACTGGAAATATCAGATCTCAGTTCTATAAATCAATTCTTTAGTCCAAGGTCTTTCAAGGCAAAGAGGAGGGTTCTAAAATTGTGAGATTAGCTGCTCCATCGCTGCTGTCCTTCTCATCGCTCCTGGCAAAGTTAGCATAGTATGTTACAGAGAAGACCAGTTCCTCTTCGCTATCTTCCTCTGCCATACATATGATAGAAATGGAAATTACACAGCCAGGTGACCCAGTTTATATATATGTGCAACTCGACTAAACACAAAACTGTAAAGTTTCCTATAAGTTTAAAAGCAAAAAGAATTTTCGATGAAACCCATGTTGGATGCACACTGTGGATAGCTGGCACGTGGAGGGTAGATCATTAACCGCCTGAAATTTCAACATCCTTTTTTTTTTTTTCACCATTTGTTATTTCTTTTTTTTAAGTGTAAAGCGACAAGACAAAACAAAAACATATGATCTCGAATTCCAACTGCGCTTGAGAAATTCTGATTTATAGTGCAGTGTGGTACTATTGCCAGTAATTGAATTCAAAACTTAATTACCTCTCTGTATAAAGAGGGATGCGAAATGCAACTGCCTCCAAAAAAATATTTACATGTGAAACCTTTCTTCTTGCCTTGAAAGGTCTGGAACTGAAGGATCTTTTTACAGAACTGAGATTTGAAATTTCGAGTTTTGCGTGACCCTGTCAAGAATATGATTTCACCAAAACATCATTGTAATGTCCTGCTTTAGAAGATCTGTTAACCAGTTAAGACATTTAACTCTTTTTCAAATTCCAACCTGCAACCTGCAACCTGCAACTTGCAACCTGCAAATTACACCCTCCGGAAAAAATAAGGTCATGGCTGAAAAGATAAGAATTTCAACCA